TGTCATATAGTGAAAAACAAATAAATTCAATACTATATTTGTTTTCTTTCCTTTTTCTTTCGTTCTCTTTAGATTTTGTTATACATTCTGAGTAGCTAGATAATACATATATTGTTTCGTTCTTTCTCCTATCTAGTCTCACATGACGTATTTCTTTTTTGATCTTTTCTTTTCTCTTTGTATTGCGTATTTCCTTTTCCATATATTTTCCATTGATTGCGTAATTTGTCGCAACATTATCTTTTTGTTCTTGTTACTGTTAACTCGTCAATAAACTGATATTGACCTATTACTTCTTCTTCATTGATACGCAGCACAAGACGTGACAAATACACTATATTGTTGACTATGCAAAATATCAACTATATACAAGACTATCACCTGAAATGTTTGTTATATATTAACGACCTTCGTATTAAAAACCAATCTTTAATTCTTATGAATCACATTCAAATAATCAAGAAACGAACTAATATTTCTCTCAAAACTTTTTAATCAAGATCCTTCAAAAAAAAACAAAAACTTAAAAACTACTTACATCCAAGCATCTGTCCAATAAACAGGATTATCATCAAAATTAATTGTTAATCCATTTGGCCATCTTATATTAGTCGTAATAACATAAGTTACTTGTCTATCAATTAAAGTCGAACGATGAATTGATGGATAAATGCCAACATCTGACTAAAATCTCTATTATATATTTTACAGGCTTTTTTCAGTTCTTCGGGAACTTTCCCGCTCTATATATTATGTAAGCATATGATTGGTCACAGAACAAAAAAAAAGTATATATATACATATATGTGGTTCGTTACAGAACTAAAGGAAATATATTTATAGAGTACTATCTATGAATTCCCGATACGCCAACTAAATTCGCATCGTAGCAACCAACTTGCAGCAGAGGGCTTAGCAACGTTTGCATCATGTTATTTACTTATTCCTTATATATTAGTGTAATTTTTCCATACTATAAATGCAGATGAAAAAAACCAATGTATGTGTCATATTTTATTCCACATGCATTTTTGAATTTGTCACCTTTGGCATTGTACATCTCATCACGGGGGAAAAAGAAATTGGTAGAATTATTTCAATATTTTCCATAGATGTGGAATTGTATCATTTTCGCTTGATTTTGCTCTCAGTGAAAGGCTTCGGATGCTATATTAGAAAATTTCAAAAAATTCAATGGACAAATCTATTCGATATACAACCCTAGTCGAACTTTTTTTAGGAAGCGCATGACATTCTTGAGTTTCTTGAGCCTGAATGTCATGCGCTATGGACACATCTTGAGTCAAGACTTGAGACCATTAGCAAAACTAAAGCGCTTGATATTCTTGCTCATGCGCTTGAACGTCTGTGCAAGCATATGTTACGTGCTTAAATGTTAAAGAAATATTTTCAGTGTTTTTTTTCAGTTCTACGTTCAAAATGACTGAAATTTTAATAAAAACTCGCACTAGTAATTTTTTTAGTTCAGCGCATGACTTTTTCAACCATGCGCATGACTCATGCGATCACTCAAATGCTTGTCTTGACCAAGAAAGTCATGCGCTATGGACACATCTTGAGCTCAAGTCTTGTCAAGCGCTTGAATAAAAAAGTTCGACTAGGGAAAGAAGCAGTGCGAGTTAGATATTTAATTAATCATTCCAATGCGTGGCATAGTTGTATGTACGAAGCATCAAGTTATATGATGTTTAAATCTTTACAATCATTATTGGTTACAATTATTTATCATTTTAATCCTACAAATCCTTTTGCAACTTTTCGAAGATTTCAAAGAAAATATGATTGAAGATTTTGTTCAACAAGGAAACAACGTAGAAAAATCTCTAAAATTATGCATTAACGACATACGAACGCAAATTCAACAAAATGCTTTCGACTTTAATCAATTTTTACCATTTTCTAATTTCGAAGATATTTCAGATCGCGAAGATAATCAAAATCGCTTAAAAGTGCTGTAGATGTTGATTTTCCTAAGCGCTTTTCAGCACTTACCGCTAAAATCGCTTAAAAGTGCTGTTAAGTCTCATTTTCCTAAGCGCTTTTCAGCACTTATCATTAAAATCGGGTGTAGGTGTGGATGTGGGGTGTGCGTGTGGATACTAGTGAAGACACACTCACAACCACACTCACACAACCACACCCACCCACACCCACACACACACTCACACACCCACACCCACCCACACACCCACCAACACCCACACTCACACACCCACACCCACACACCCACACCCAGCCACACCCACACTCACACACCCACACCCACCCACACCCGCCCACACCCACACCCACACCCACACCCACCCACACCCACACCCACACCCACAGCCAGCCACCCACACCCACACCCACACCCATCCTTATCGGAAAGAACTGATAGTTTACTCCGGTAATCGGATCCGTAAAACCGCGATAAACCTGCGGTTTTTTTCCGATGTTTATTACATGGGTAGTCGTGTAAAGTTTACGTCAAATGTCATATTCTCATGACTCATGTTTATGTGAAAATTATCGAGTTACGATCATTTCAATATTTGTTTTTTTTTCGTAAACAACAGAATTATTGAACATATAAACAAAGTATTGGTGAATAAAAAGAAAAACTAGTGAATCTTCAAGAAGAAGGATATTAGAAATCATGCGAATTGTGCAAAATATATCGAGCTTATTGAAAATGATATCGCATTTTTTGCTAGTACATGTATTAATAAGCGCAAAACCAAACTTAAAAAGACGATTATATAAATTTCCTAGTCATTTTTGACCTCAAAACGTGGTATATATGTCGATTTGTAAAGGAAGACGTACTCTATTTAATGGTGTGTGTACTATCAAGCTCTATTGCGCAGCATTTAGATATCAATAGAGATCGTCACCGCGGTAGAATGCAGCGAAGATGGCGCCCTCTATTGATATTTCGACCTCTGGAATCAAAACCTTAGTCTCGCTCATCACTATGCATATCCCTGCATGAGAGTGATAAAGAGAAAGTGATACGATTAGATTAGTATTCCGATGCAGTCATAGGCGGCGCGCCTGTGATGCGAGGGGTTGCAGTTGCTACCCCTA